GGGAGTCAGGTGAACGCTACGGGGTGGGGTACAGGCTGTGCTGGGATGCTGTCAAGCAGCAGTTAAGCTCTTCGAAGATCTCGGGTAAGTCCAAGGCCTGCATGCGTGCGCGAGCCACCGGCGCCTTTTGGACTGGTGCAGATGCAGCGCGAGATGGCTACGCTGTTTCTGCCCGCTGCCCGCTTTGTGAAGGCGCACTGGACACTTTGCATCGCCGCCTGTATGCGCGCCCTGCAGTGCCGAAGGGGCGCAGAGGAGTACTGCCGGATTGGCTGGTTTGTGCCGCTCGTGATGTGGAGGATCCTGCGTACGACAGTGTTCCCTTTCGGCATGGTGCATTCCGTCGTCCAGGAGGCACTCCTGCCTCCCCCTCTGAGTGTTGGCGATGTCTCTCTGGTGTGGGAAGCTCAAGACCTGCCTCCTCCTACCTCTTGTGGCTTTGACCGGGTGGCTCCTGAGGACTCGATGTTTTTTGTTGTTTGGGAGAAAAAAGATGGCTCTTGCCATGGGCGCGTTGTCAAGGAGTTGTCTCGGGCAGTCTGGGCTGTTGCCATGATGGGGAAAGATGGCGGCCCCCTGGGCGGTCTCAAAGGTCCCCTGTGGGCTCCGTATCCCCAGACCCCGCGGGCGGCTGAATTTGCTGCGTTTGCCTGGTCTGGGGCCTATGCGTCTGCGCCGTCTATTGGGTTATCTGACTGTCTGAATGTCGTGGATCATGTAGTCCTCGGGAAGGACGCTCTCTGTGGGAAGAGACAGTACAGTGGTCTTGTCCTGCAGGGCACCTTCGAGCATGGCCCCCACCCCGTTGCCCTGAAAAAAAATAGCGGCGCGCCGCCGTTTGGACGAGGATGGGATTTCCGCGGGGGAGAGGTTTAGGAGGTTGGGGATGTCCACGCTGACCTGGCGGCGAAGGAAGGAGCGTCGCTTCGCCCGTCGTGCGCGCCGACGGAGTTGCAGGCCTTGGATCACGCGCGGTTTGTGCTTCAAACAGGCGCGGCTCTCCCACCTCTGTGGCCGAGGCTTGAGTTCCTAGGTAAGCCCAGATCCCCCCCTTCTCGTCCTGAGGCCCCCCCCTCTTTGGAAGTTGGGCACCTCTGGAGCAAGGTCGGCAGTTTCTGGCAATGCAGGGTTTGTTTGCGAGGGTCTCGTGCCAAGGTCCCTCCCTTCGGGAACTGCCAGGGGCATTCGAGACTGGGCCAGGGAACGTTGTTCGGTCTGGGGCACAAAGTCGTGGCGTTCCCGGGTTCGGATCAATATCATTTGTTTTTGTGCTTGTCTTGCAAGTTTTACAGTGCTGGCTCGCAGGTCGTAAAATTAGGCAAGGAGTGTGGCAAGCCGTCTGTCACGTCTGGTCGAAACGTGAGGAGGCTGAAAGCTGGCCGCCACCCCGACAAGGATCATGTTACTGTCGACATGGACGACTTTCTCTCCTTGCTCTAGCCTCCTTGGCGGCGTCATTGTAAGGTGTTGTGTAGGACACCGCGCCCCCAGAGGTGGTTGATGGCCGATCAAGCCTCAGTCGGCCCAGGCGTTTCGAGGCATTGGCGTCGCTGCCACAAAAAAAGGAGGAGGAAGAAAAGACGGAGGAGGAACAGGAGGAGGAGGAGCAGGAGGAGCAGGAGGAAGAGGAGCAGGAGGAAACGCAGGAGGAGCAGGAGGAGGAGGATGACCAGGAGGAGCAAGAGGAACAAAAGGAGCTGAAGGAGGACGAGGAGGAGGAGGAGGAGGAGATGGAGGAACATGATCCCTCCCTCCCTGGGTGATCTTTTGATCGTGTTCAGGTCATCTTTCGTCCGTTTTCATATATTTTTGTTTCTCCAGTTCTCTTTCTCCCTCTCTCTCGTACTTTGCTTTTATTGTTCGCCCCCCCACCTACTGACGGCGTCCAAAGCCTTGAGTCATGAGCTTCGAAGAGGAGCATGAGGAGCAGGAACAACGGAATGATACAGAAGGGAAAAACGACATGGAGGAGGAGGAGGAACAAAAAAATGCCAGAGTTAATTTGGGATGCGTCACGTGTTATGCCATGCACCCGCCCGTCCCACGCTCCCTGCTCATATGCCCTTACAAGAATGTCTTTTCAGTGCGGGAAGTGCCCTCGTGGAAAGACGAACACATCATCGTGTTCCAATTCATGCGGCAGTCTTGTTTCGAAAATGACCTGCCGCTCAAGTCTCTAATAGTGAGGACGGCGAGGGCCCGAACTATAGTCCAACGATGTGTCCAGCGGGGTTCGGAGAGCCCCCATCAACCCGTGTTTGTGTTGTCGTGTGTTCCAGGTGTGGTCGCATTGCGCGAGGAAGTCTCACGCGAGAGTCCCAGACCGGCAAGAAGCCACCTCCCATCCGTGCTGCGGCTGCGGAGGTTTAGTTTTTTGTTCCCTCGAGCCATGCCTTCACTCGGGTCAGGCGTCGGCGATCTGCTTCCAGCTCAAAGCAGCTGCATGGGCTTCCCAGGTTGCCTTTGGCTGGCCGGCCGGTTGGCCTCGGGCTGGCCGGCCGGAAACCTCTGGCCGGGCGCCGGGGGGGTTACGAAATTTGCTGCATGCAGCTGGTTTCGGCCTCACCGAGGGGCTCATTCCTCGATACATAGCCGCCTCCGGCGCCGGGAGGCGCCGGGAAAATCAGCTACGCGAGCTGATTCTCAAACTCCCCCTTTGCTATCCCCCCCTTTCGCCCGACCCGAGAGAGGTCTCGCTTGGTGCCCGCGGGCGCCGCGTGGGCGCCTCGTGCGCCAGGCGGGCGTGTGCTCCGAGCTTCCGCCCGGTGCCGGCCCGTGGGCGCCTCGTGGGCGCCGCGTGGGCGCCTCGTGCCCTGGGCCGCCTCGGCGCTGTGGGCGCGGCCTCTTGGATGGGGTCCGAGTAGATGGGGTCGGAGGATCGCTCCACATCGCCGACGCATCGCCGATGCGGCTCGATGTGGAGCCCGTGTTTCCTCACGCCGACGTCGCCGATGTATCGCCGATGTATCGCCGATGCATCGCCGATGCATCGCCGATGCATCGCCGATGCATCGGCGATGCGGCGCGATCCTTCGACCCCATCTACTCGGACCCCATCTAGGAGGCCTCTATATGGGCGCGGCTTCCTGCTGCGTCGCGCTCGGTCAGCGCGAGTCTGACAAAAGCCTCGCGCGCTGGGCGGGCGCGCCCTCCTCGCCCCGCGCGCTCTGTCGTTCGTCTGTCGTCCGGGTCGTTTTCGTCGTCGCGTCGGGTCGCCCACCCCCCTGCACCTTTGCCCCTGCTGGTAAAGGAAGAGTGCCGAGGTTTCGCCTGGTGCTGGCCCGAGGGCGTCTCGTGGGCGCCTCGCGCGGCACAGGCGGCCGCATGGCTTACACCACAAGCAGAATTGCACCGTACAGTTCGCACCATTTGGCTTGCATAACGTGACCACGCAGCTTGCACCACGCAGCTGGCACCACAGTGCTTGCTCACTGCAGCGCGAAGCTTGCACCACGCAGCCTGCATCGCATGGCTTGTTCCGAATAGCTTGCACAACAGCTTACACCAGATAGCTTGCACCACGTAGCGTACAGCGCGTATGTTACACCCACATCGCCTGCACCCCATAGCTTGCGCATTACTGTGTAACTGGTGTCTGTTAGCGCTGGCAAACATGATCATGCAGAACGTGTTTTTTACATCGAGGACAGGCGGGGTCCCTCCGAGACCCCTTTTTTTCGCTAAAGCATGTGCTTCCGCGCTTTTTGTTCCCCGTTTTCCGTGTTTGAGAGGACGCCGCGGCCACCACGGCAAATCACGGGCATCTCACAGGAAAAAATGACAATCGAACCGCGTAATTGCTGTAGTCATTGAAGGCGACTGCGCGTGGTGCTGAAACTGCAGCCACATTTTATGAGCAAGTGATTGCCCTCCATCCGCCCAGCGGGGGGGAACTTCTACCACGAACGCACGTGACGCAAAAGCGATAACCACAATTTGAAAAAGAGTTACATGCTGCCCGTGTAACTCGCTGGTTGAATTACCCGCAATTTCGCAAAAGAGTGTGGGCGAAGAATCCCGCCGCAGGCTCAGTTTTTTTGCACAACGGGCCCGCCGCAGGCTTTTTTTTCCGGCAAGCCACCGCGGGTGGGTCGCAGAGTGGGTCGCGGGTGGGTCGCAGGCGTGTCGTTCGAGGACGACGGCAGCAGCGCACCAACAATCCGCACCGCGAAGCCCCATGCCGGCCACGGAAAATGACCCGCCCCTTCTCATCCGTGCATTCCATTGCTGCTGGAACTGTGTAAGACGAGTGCTTTGGCATCGCTCGGACGTGTGCGCTTTCTTGTTTATATAGATATATACTTGTTATATATATATATATATATATATATTTATTTATAGATATTATACATAATCTGGGCGAGGACCAAACAGCATGTGAGGCCGTCTTGCGAAACATACACGCGCGCAACCGAAGAGTGCACGGGGAACGGACGTCCGAGCGGTGGCGAGGTGCGAGCACCGGTACTGCGGGGCTCGCACTGTGCACGCCCCCCCCATCCATCCGTGCAGTTGCTCGAACACGTCAAGCTTCGGGGTCCCAAGCGAGGAGGAGGTCTCGGTCGAAGCTCCCAGGCCGCCCCACCAACGCGCGTGGCGGTCAGGCGATACGGCGTCATCTACAATCATCTGCAAGGGGGACTTGACATCGCTCGGACGCGTGCACCACTTCTCGGCGAGAACCATCGAGGAGCAACCTGGATCAGCTGGCGACATAAAGCACGCCCGACACCACAACTGCACGGGGAACGGACGTCCGGGCGATGGCAAAAGAAGGGATGTGGCGGACGGAAGAGGGAGGAGGGAGATGCAGAGTGGGATTGATGGAGCGAGATGTGTGACTGCGCGCCTGCGAACGCCACAATGCAGCGTTGCACCCGTGGCGTGATTGCGAAACGCGATGCGTTTTCGAGCGCAGGGACATTCTTCGTCTGGAGTTCGTTCTGCTTCGGGCGGGGGGGTATCCTCGATCACGGGAGGGATTCTGGTGGCTCCGGCAGGAGGAGTCTGGACGCTCCAGCTGCGCTTCGTCCTTGCGCTCCGCTGTGACGCTGAGCAGCTCCATTGGAGGTGGGCAGCCGCAAAGATAGTGTGGTGGAGATGTTCGCAGCGACTGTGCCTTTCCCCATTACTTTGCATGGCAGGGCCGTATTCGTAGCCCGAGCGATAGCAGCAGTAGCAGAAGCCGTACAGTTAGAGGTGGCCAGCGCGATCATCTACGTTACACACGTGCCCGTATACATTTATGTATGTATATACATGCGTTTGTGTGTATTTGTCTATCGGATTGTGTAACGAGCTATGAAGTGGGATGGCAAGCATACATCAACGCATGCGCACATCAAGAGGCAGCAGCGGCGGTGGTTGGGAACCGACGGGGCAATTCGCACTGCAGTTGTGACTGATGCCACCCGTGACTCTCCACGAGGAGGAAGCGAAGCCTCCGCCTCACGCAGACCATTTCGATCGGACCGATCGGGCTCGATGTCGATCCCGGCCGGCCCGATCAGATTCGGCTCCCAACATGTGGGAGATCCGATGCGGCCCGACGTTCGCATGGCGTCGTTGTACATCTTGGCGAAGCTGAACCGAATAGTGTTCGGGTCCGTGCCGATCAGCTCGATCCAGCGTTCATTCTGATTCGATTCGATTTCCCAGCTCGTTGTCGGCTGATTCTAGCCTCAGAGTTCCCCCAAGAAAGGCTCTCCAGGGCGCCCAAGAGAGCCCCAAAGGGCCCCAAGGTCCCCAAGACCTCCAAAAGAGCCCGAAGGAATGGAGACTCCAAAGGAGACGGGAGCTGTTGTGTCACAGAGCTCGATTTGTCAAATTTGCCACGCCACGATCGCAACAAAAATATATGCTCTAATTCAGAAGTGGTCCTCTGAGCATAACGCACGGGATAGTTGCTTGGGAGTGGGGAAGGGAGGGCAGATGCAGGACATATCTATGTATATATTCACATATATATACATATAGGTATATGTACATGACAGCAAAGCGAGTTTGGGAAAATGGCCGGGATGACTGGGACCGGGCAGCAGTGGGAGGGTCATACATCAGGGGGCACCCTGATCATGTTAGATATGCCCCCAATGCTCGAGGTCTCATCGCCTGGGGGGGGCGGAAAGAAGCTGGAAGAGCGGCGTTGCGAATTCACGATGGGTTTGAAGTGCAGATCTCGGCTTTCGATTTGATTACAGAGCCTCAGTCGAGAAAGCGAGGACTTCTGACTGGAGCGTCGACAGCTGGAATGCTCGCAAGAATCTTTGTCGAAGACGCTTTTTCTTGGTGCCGTGCGTTTTGGTGGCGCACAGGAGCAGGTTTCCTTTTTTGCACACATGCACCATATCGACTCGTGCACCATATCGAAGGAGCCCTTTGGACCATCCACAAGCGAGTGGCAACTCGTGTGCGCACTGTTGTCCCATCGGCCTTTTCGACGACTCTGCTGTTCCAGTGTACGAGCAGGTAATGGCTGCATTCCGTGAGCGAATCCGCGCATGTGGGAGTCGAGCGGCCGAGGATTAGCGGTGTGCTGTCGCGGCTCGTGGCGGAGTGCTGGGACATTCGTCCCTGGGTGATAAGCCTCCTCTGAGGGACTCCGCCACAGTTCCAGACCTGCGAGTCTCCCCCCTTTCCGAGGGCTGTCCTGCCTGCCAAAATCCTCCTGGTCCTCCTCCTCCTCGTCCTCCTCGTTTTACGCTGGGCAAGCTCGAGCGCCGTGGCTGTGGGGTCCGTGTCAAGAGAGAGCGCATGCCGACCCAGGCGCGGAGGCCCACAGGTTGCGCCCGGCAGACCGTCCGTCCTCCTCGCCGTCCTCCGCCTCTGACCGTGTCCTGCGAGCGTGGCCGAAACTCGGCCGCAGCTTGGTGGCCGGCTTTGCGTGCGAGTGTGTTACTTCGACTAGACGTAAGAGTGACCTTTCGCCGGAGTGACCTTTGGTGCGGGCACAGATGGGTCCCCAGATGGCTGAAAACGAAGCAGTGGCAGCGGCTTGCGCGCCCAGGTTTTGGCCCCCCCGGGGCCCCCAAAAAGTCGCGCACCAAAGGTCACTCTTAACCAGGGTCACTCTTGCGTGTAGCCGATTACTGTTGCCGTGAGGGATCCAGTCGGGTGGACGTTGTGAAACCTGTTTCGGCGGCTCGCTGTGTCGAGCAGGGCTTCGGCTCTGTCTCGGGATCGCGCGTCGTCGTAGGGTGTGGCACGGCCCCTCTTGATTAACGAAAGGTCCCAAAAGGTCCCGCATGGTAAAGATGAGCGGCGTTCCAAGGTCACCCTAGCATTCTGGAGGACGACCAATGGAGAGGAAGCATGTTGCCAAATACTTCCAAGATCTCTAACACATGTGTTAGTCATGTTTCAAACATGTAAACCACATGTTTAAAACCTGTTTAGAACATGTTGTCCGAAATGTTAAACACATGTTTAATTCAATGTTAGGATTGTTAGGGTATATATTGTCGTGACAAACCTAGCATCCTTCCCCCTCTGCGCATCCTCGGCTTCTTCCGCTGGCCGCGCCCCGCTCGCAGAGTGTCGACCTGGCCTTCCAGGTTCCTTGCATGCGTATCGTGCATCTTTATTTTACGGGCTGACTGTTATGATGCCCGTGCTGCGGATTGGGTGGGCTGGAGGCCTCAGTTTCAGCTGTAGGCCGTTTCTAGGGTGACGTCTGATCAACCTCGCTGGATTCGCCCCCAAGGTGTTCTCCTCCTCCTCCTCCTCCTCCTCCTCCTCCTCCTCGTCCCATTTCTCCACCTTGTCCTCCTCCTCCTCCTCCTCCTCCTCCTCCACTTCCTCCTCCTCCTTCCCCTCCTCCTCCACTTCCTCCTCCTCATCATCATCCTCCTATTCCTCTTCCGCTCCTCCTCTTCCTCCTTCTCTCCTCCTCGTCCTCTTAGCAGTGGTTGTCATCGTCCTCTTGCTCCTCCTCGTCTTCCTCCTCGTCCTCCTCTTGCTCCTCCTCCTTCTCTCCTCCTCGTCCTCGTCTTCCCCGCCCGCCCAGGCTCCAAGGGCAAGAAGGAGCAGAAGGCGCGGACCCGCCTGGACGACGGCAGGCCGCCCACGCCCACGGAACGCGACAGCCCGGGCCGAGCGGCGCAGCCGCGGCCCGACGACGCGCGCCTCGCCCCGCGCATCGGGGACCTGAACAAGGAGCGCGCTTCTCTTACACAGGAGCCCTCTAGGAGGATGAGGAGGAGGAGGAGGAGGAGGAGGAGGAGCAGGAGGAGGAGGAGGAGAATGAGGAGGAGGAGGAGAAGAAGGAGGAGGAGGAGGAGGAGAAGAAGGAGGAGGAGAATAAGGAGGAGGAGGAGGAGAAGGAGGAGGAGGAGGAGAAGAGGAGGAGGAGAGGAGGAGAAGAAGGAGGAGGAGGAGAAGAAGGCGGAGGAGGAGAAGGAGGAGGAGGAGGAGAAGGAGGAGGAGGAGGAGGAGCAGGAGGAGGGCCATGACGCGCGTTGTGCCCCCCCCCCCCCTACCCCCCCTACCCCCCGCGTAACTCCAGGCCTCCCAGGGGTCGGCGTAGATGGGGTCGGAGGATCGTGCCGCATCGCCGATGCATCGCCGATGCGGCTCGATGTGGCTCGATGGGTGGGCCAACTTTCTCCACGCCGACGTCGCCGATGCACCGCCGATGTCGCCGATGCATCGCCGACGTAGCTAACCCAGACCCTCTCTTGTCATGAACAAATCATACTTTTGAAAATGGTGTTTGTTATTTCCTGCCTCTGGGGGCCCTCACTGGGCCGCGGGACCGTCAACAAGACGACTCAGGATGAGAAACAGGTCCTGGAGAATGGGTCGAGACCTCTGGGGGTCGACGAGATGATGAAGTCATGACGTCGGAGGTCTGGCAACGTAGCGCTCCCCCCCCCCCCTCAGTGCGGCCCCGGCCCTGCCGCAGTGCGTCCAGCACCAGTCTTGGGGGGGGGGGGGGGGCGCTGCGTTGTGCTCCCTCCCGTCCCCCCCCCACCCTTACGCCCGCTATGGCCGCGCGTTGAAAAAAACATGCGCTCAAGATCCTCGACGCCCGGGGCGACCAGCACAGCCTCGGGGGGCGCCAACCTCGGGCGGGGCTGCAGGGCTCTTCCTCGACTCCTCCGAGTCGATGCGATCCGATGCCGGTGGCCTCCGGTGCCGATCCGCTTCGGCTCGGGACTGCGATCTGGACTGCGACTGTTCGGACTGGGTGCTTACCGGTCTGCCGATTTCTGCCGGTTCGATTTCTCTGGGCTCGGCTGCCGATTTCGGCCGATCCGATTCGTTTCGATCTCCGATTCGACTTCTCGATTCTATGCTGAGCGCTTCTGGGACTACAGTCGATCATCTGATCTGAGGGCCTCCCGAAAAACTGGGCCAGCGATTCTTGGCCAGCTTGCCGAGCAGCTGGCCCAGCTTGAGCGCGTTCGCACCCCCAGCGTTAAGAGCAGAGGTTGGCCCTGGCTTGTTTTGAGACAATTCTGGGAGCTTGGCCAATATATCTTACATGAGAAGTTTCTTGATCACATGTTCTGCTGTATTGAGATCGGCGGTCCGCTTACTAAGCGGTTAGGCCACTGCTACGTGGATAGCCCCCTACTGTGGTAACTTACCATGAATAGGTTGTAAGTATGTTGCCTAAGTAGGTTTGCAGATACTGAGCCCAAGTAGGCTAAGTAGGTTAGCGCCCCAACTTCAGTACTTAGCCAGAGTCGGCTAATTGATGGGCCAGGGCGAATCTATGAGGAGGCAGGGATATATCCATCCCAGAGCATTTTGGGACGCTCGTTCCCGAGCGCTCTGAGAATCCACGGAGGAAGAAGTTCCCCGACCGACCCTCATAAGTGTCGTTTAGTAGACCGCCTTGGGCGTTTGATGAACAGCACTGCCCCCTTCGATTCCTTCCTTGTGTGCGTTTACTAAACGGCTTCGCTTGTCGGGGGTGCTTTCTATAGCGTGTTGTACCTGTTCTCCAGAGGAGCCCGCGGCGCCCGGTGCATCCCTCGGAAGCGCCGGATCTCAGAAATGCCCCGCGCGGAACGTATCCGTGCGACCGCGGATCCTCAGCGGGATCGCGCCGACCGCGAGGGCGCGGACATGGCTACGTTCGCCGCTCGTGGAGCTCTGGTCCCGCGCCTCGAAGAGGCACACAAATGCGCAAACATCTTTTCGCGGAAACGGCGCGGGCTTCCCCGATCAGCGCTGGGCCTTCCTTGGCAGCGCCTCTGGCGCCGCCCCCTGGCGCGCCGATCGGTTCCTTCGCGCGTGCGTGGGGTCGAGCGGTTCGCTCGGAGAAGCGATGGGCCAGGTTTCGCGCGGTCCTCCGTCGGCGGCGAGCAAAGGGGGGGGAAGGGAGAAGGAGAGCGCCTTTCAGAGGGCGGCGGGACTTCTCAGAAGCTCCCGCGCCTCCTGGGGAGTGTTCTCCCTGTCCTCGGGGTAGGCTTTGTGGAAACTCCTCGGGGTAGGCAGGGGGACCTCCGAGCCTTCTGAGAAGGCCCGCTCCTTCTCGCTTCCCCCCGGCTCGCCGTCGAGTCTTGGGTCGAAGAAGAAGAAGCGCCATAAACAGAAATTGTTGGCGCTCCGCGCGGATTTCTTGGATCCGCGCTGGGGCCCCCTGGCGGCGCCCGCAGCGCCGCCCCTGGCGCGCTCCGCGCGCCAGGGAGTGGGGTCCAGCGCAGATCCAAGAAATCTGCGCGGAGCGCCAGAAGTTTGTGTTTATGGCGTTTGTTCTTCTTCTATCGGGCAGCAGCGCCGATGCTCTGGGCAGCAGCGCCGATGCTCCAGAGAGGCGTGGCCACGACGCTGCCCGGCTGCGGCTCGTTCTGGGGCCTCTCGACGGCTCTCTCTTCGGCGGCGCGCCGAGGGGAGGAGCGCCGCCGAAGAAGCCAGGATACACTGGGGCCCATGCCAAGAAACACCCTGCTCCTCCTCTTCCTGCTCCTCCTCCACCTCCTCCTCTGCCTCCTCCTCCACCTCCTCCTCCTCCTCCTCCTCCTCCTCCTCCTCCTACTCCTCCTCTGCCTCCTCCTCCTCCTCCTCCTTGTCCTCCTTGTCCTCCTCCTTGTCCTCCTCCTCCTCCTTCTCCTCCTTGTCCTCCTTGTCCTCCTCCTCCTCCTCCTCGCGCGAACCAAAACCACTGCGGGGCGGCCGCCTCGGCGAGACGGCATCGGCCCAGTGCGCGCCGCTCGCTGGGGCGATGGGCTTCAGGCCTCCAGGGTTTGTTGGGTTTCTTGGGTTTCCTCCTCCTCCTCCTCCTTGTCCTCCTCCTCCTCGTCCTCCTCCTCCTCCTCTTGGGTTTCTTGGGTTTCCTCCTCCTCCTCCTCCTCCTCTTCGTCCTCCTCCTCCTCCTGACCAGGGGCCTCTGCAAGCGGAGCTTCTTCGGCTGGATCTGGGCGGAGGGCCCCGGCCGGGTCACGAGGTCGTGGCCGCCGAGCTCCTGGACGGGTGGCGGCCGGGTGTCTGCGGAGGTTTCGTTCCGAGGGGGGGAGGAAACCCTGGGCGCCCTCGAGGGCGCAGAGTTTCGGTGGAGCCCATAGCCCATGCCACGCAAGACCCTGCTCGGCTTCAGGGTGCCCTGGGTTTCTTGGGTTTCGATGGTTTTGCGGTGGGAAGCGTGACGTTCCCACGCCCAGAGTCAAGGAAGGTCCTGGGGCCTCCGGGTTGGGTTTCCTGTGGAAGGTTTCTTGTGGACTGGTCTCCACTGTACCGAGGGAAGCGCGCCCCTCGCCCGCCGCCGCCTCTGGAAAACAGTCTCGGGCCCGGGGGCCATCAGAGAACGTCCAGGCCTGAGCGGGGTCCCGGGACCTGCTGCGCTGTCCGCATCCCCCTCGCCTCCCTCGGGGAAGGTGCGCCCGCCAATCTCTCAGGCCCAGGATCGGTTTTACAGTGGAGACCCATGCCAAGAAACACCCTGCTTGCCGCCAGGGTGCCCTTGGTTTCTTGGGTTTCGATGGGTTTGCTACGGAGAGCGTAACGTTTCCACACCAAGAATCAATGGACGTCCTGGGCTCTCAGAATTGGGTTTCTTGTGATAAGCTTCTTGGGGTCGAGCTCTTTCTGTATGTGCATGTGTAGATGTATACATACCCCGACATGTAACGCCCAGGTTTTTCATGATACGGGGCCCCCAGAAGTCCGACCATCTCCCTCCAGGACAGGTGTTCCATCTCGAGGCGTTTCTTGATGGTCCTGGGGCCCGGCGAGGGCCCCTGGAGGCCCAAAACGGCCAACATCCATGTCTCGTACTTTAGTTTTCCGATTCGAGCACGTTTCTGGATATATGTATATAGAGAGAGAGAGAGAGAGAAACAAAAAAAAGGGAGATATGGAGATATAGGTACTTATATATCACTGTCTTCATACAGATACGTAGATACAACTATACAACTTCATGTAGATGCGTCTGCATGCATGTGTACTTGCATGCGTCAGAGTGAGGGGATCGAATGGTCATTCACTGTCCCTGGAAGTGAGGCTCTGCGGTGCGGATTGTTTTTGTTGTTGGTGTTGTTGTTGTTGATGATGAAGCCGGCTGCCGGGGCCCTGGGGGGGGGGCGGGGGCGAACAACGAACAACAGAACAACGGGGACCGAAAAGGGCCAATCGGATTTGCATAGGATTCCACAGGGGGGCCCATGAGGTTCCGTACGGGCTCCATAGGGGTCCCATGAGTTTCTGTCGGAATTCCATAGGGGTCCCTTGAGATCTGTATGGGTCCCACAGGGGCTTACTATCTGTAGTCTGTTTGTTCTTAGTGTAATCAGTATCATTAATAGTAATACTAGTACTACCACTACCACGACCACCACCACTACTACTATTACTACTACTACTACTACTACTACTACTACTACTACTACTACTACTACTACTACTACGACTACGACTACTACTACTACTACTACTACTACTACGACTACTTCTACTACTACTACTACTACTACTACTACTACTACTACTATTACGACTACTACTACTACTACTACTACTACTACTACTACTACTACTACTGCTGGTAGCAATACTACTACTCAGATTACTATCACTACTACTACTACTACCACTACTACTACTACTACTACTACTACTACTACTACTATCACTTCTTCTAGCACTACTTCTACAACTACGACTACTACTACTTCTACTACTACGATTACTCTTATTACTACGACTATCATTACTACTCTTCCTACTACAACTACTACCACTACTACTACCACTAGTACGCTTACTTCTGCTACTACTACTAGTACTACTACCACTACTACTACTACTACCACTACTACTACTACTACTACTACTATTATTACTACTACTACTACTACTACTACCAATATTATTATTACTACGACGACGACGGCTAGGCTTAGTCCTACTACTACTACTACGACTACTACTACTACTACGACTACTACTACTACTACTACTACTACTACTACTACTACTACGACTACTATTTCTACGACTACTACTACTACGACTACTACTACTACTACTACTAGTACTACTACGACAACGACTAGTGCATCTACAACTACGACTACTTCTATTACTACTACTGCGATTTCTGCGTAAATTAGACTTTCCACTACTAGCACTTCCACCACGACTATTAATACGACTGGTACGATCACTGCACCTACTACACAGCAGCATAGTACTACTACTACTACTACAACTACTACTACTACTACTACTACTACTACTACTACTACTACTGCTTCTATTGTTACTACTACTACTACTACTACCACTAGTGTTATTATTATTATTATTACCACCACTATTACTACTACTACTACTACTAGCACTATTGTTACTATTACTACTACTACCACTACTACTAAGACTATTACTACCACTACTATTTCTTCTTCTTCTACGACTACTACTACTACGGCTACTACTACTATACTACTACTACTACTACTACTACTACTACTACTACTACTACTACCACTACTACTACTACTACTACTACTACTACTACTACTGCTACTGCTACTGCGACTGCTGCCGTCAATACTACTACCACTACTACTCCTTCTACTAATACGACGACTACG